GGACGTGCGTGTGGAGCGACACCTCCGCTTTGAGTTTGCCAAACTCAAGGCACGCCGTGGACTTCCTTCGGATTGTCGCCCTGCGACGTATCGGTTAGCAACCCCTAATGCTCCTGCGGTCTCTGTGTCCTCGACCGCAAGAGCTCGGGGCCACTGCTTGAGCTCAGCTCATGGCCCGTCTACTTCCCTGGCTATTAACGGAAAGCGCGGGGCGTCTGATGACGCGAGACGTCCTAATCTTCCGATCAAAAGCGTCCGCGGCGACTGGGCAATCTTGCAGAAGTGGCGCCTCAAACCCCCATGAGTTTTTTCTGAGTCAGAATATCCTTGCCACTTCACCAGATATTGGGTTTGACCCTGGTGACGACGTCGTCCAGCAAGACGATCCACGTGATAGTGGACGTCACCGTTCTCATCGAGAAGAGTCGGGGGCGGGCGGTGACGACCGGGTTGACCGTCGTTGGGTGACTCGTGATGCTATTCGAGCCTTTGAGGACAAGGTAATCGGAGCTCCGCTGAGCGTCATGCTAAAGTAGCATATTGCTATGCGGACGCTCTTGACGATATAAAGCACGTCGTGCGCCGGTTGCCTCGCCTTGAGGACTGCTGCTCTCTGTCGGAGCAACTTCTAGCAGTGGAGCAGGCAAATGCATCGCTGCAGGCAACGGTGGAGCGCTTGGCTCTATTAGAAATGGAGGTTGTTGCACTCCGTGCTCAAACCCAGTTGCTGGTTCAGCGTCTGGGTGGCCGCGGGCGCATGGGATACGCTCCGGCGCCAACGCTTCCGCGTTCAATTGTGCCGGATCCCGGTACGGCTTAGTCAAGCCTACGTAAAACACCGGGTGGGTGCGCATCCGTTTCGGAAAGTTTCAGCATGAAGGCCAGGCCCGTTTGGCCACAATCTAAGCGGTCCGGAAATTCGTGGACGAAGCTTCGTCCTGAAGATAGCAAAGGATGCATGTGTAGGCAGTTTTTTTTAATTTAATTAAACCAGGTCCCCGACCTTAAAGCTTTCCACTTTGTCTCTTCTTTTTTCATCTGCATATTGTTTCTGGTCTCGGCTTTCCGCTATAGCATTGCGAACGTGTCGTAGGACACTCAGTCTGGTAGACAAGAAGCCATCGAGTTCTTTACGGATGGTGAGGGGGCTGACATCAACTAGCCGTTCGGCTATTCCTCCACCACCAAGCCCTGAGCCATGGGATGGCGGCGTCAGCGGGACGCGAGGGTGAACCAGCCCATTCGCGTAGAACGGCGTGTAACCGGTAGATGAATGCACTGCATTGTTCAGTGCACACTCTACAAGTGACAATATTACGCTCCAGCGCCTCGGCGTCTCAGCGCAGACGCTGCGAAGAACGTCTACGATGACACGATTCACCCCTTTGGTTTGACCATCGGTCTGCGGATGATCCGCTGTCGACATATCCAACATGGTGCCTAGCACCCTGAAGATAGTCGACCAAACGTTTTTCGTGAAACGGGGGTCTCTATCAGAGACGAGCGCCTGAGGGAGTCCGTGTTGTCGGAAAACATGATCCACAAACAGCGTTGCTGTACCGACCCCGTCGATCGTGTCTGGCACCGCCGCCAAATGAACCATCTTGCTCAACTAGTCGACGAATACCACTACACCCATGTTGCCCGCCGAATCTTTTGGCATGCCAAACACAAAGTCCAAACTCATGGACTGCCAGCCCCAGTGGGTACCGATAAGCTGGCCAGCGGCGCAGCCGCATCTGGAGAGGTTTCACCCGTTGACACGACTCACACGTGCGCACATAGGTGCTCGTCCATTTGTACAGCTTGGGCCACCAATAGTGGTGACTCACAGAGCTGTACGTTTTCTCACGACTAAGATGACCACTGAGTGGCGTGTCGTGAGCCTCATAAAGGATGCGATATTCCAAATCCTTACATGAGAAACCACAATTCATGATGTATCCGTTGAATCGGTGCTATAGAATAGCAAACTGTTATTCAATGAACGTGCACGCAGTCTGGATGACAATTTCTTGGCCGAGATTCCAAACTGCTTGCTCCCTAGAGCCCGTAGCAACGCTATACACATCTCATCACCCGCATACGAGGTGCGGATCAAATCTGACACAGACGACGTTACAGTTGTAACATGAGCAAGCACATAGTCTGGTCTGCGTGACAAACCATCAGCCAAAGCATTCGGCTTTCCCGGCTTACACTTCACCTCGAAGTTATATTCCGCAAAAAAGGATAGCTATCTAGCCATCCTCTGCGAGAGGTGGGGCGACTGAGTTGCAGTGCGTAGTGACGGATGATCTGTATAGATCACAAACGGCTTGAAGCCGAGCAGGTGGATCCTGAACTTGACAAATGCATTCTTCATCGCAAGTAGCTCCTTGCCATGAACTGGGGAGTACCCATCTGCAGATTTGAGCTGTCGAGATTCGAACGCGATCACCCGATCTCGCCCCTCGGCGTCTGCTTGAAACAGTGCACAGCCGATGGTAAAGTCCGAAGCGTCACAGACGACGCTGAAAGGACCATCAGGGTCTGGAAGTGCCAGAATTGGTGCATGCAGGAGGCTGTCTTTGACCCTGTCCAAAGCCTCCTGATGTTTGGTGTTCCAACACCATTCCGCATCCATTCAAGGAGATTGAATAGGCCGGGTCATTTCTGGGTAATTTACGCTGTAATTGTGCAAGTAATTGGCAAGACCAAACCACTAACGCAAATCCTTTGGTTTTTCGAAAACGGCCAATCTACAACGGCCTTTATCCTTAGCGGGATCCGGTCGGAGGCCACGCTTTCCAAAGAAGTTCCCTAAGAAGGGAATCTCTTCTGCGCCAAAGATGCACTTGACTACATTGGCGTACAGTTTGTTAGTGCGCATGCACTGAGTACCGCTCTTAGATGAATGATGTGGTTCTCCTCATCCGTCTTCTCGTGCTCTGCACGACTGTGAGCAAAAATATCATCAAAGTATGTCTGCGC